CAATACTTAGCAGTGGACGATGATATGTATCAGATATGCAAAGGAATCTTTTTCCACAATGAAGTAAAAAGGGATTCCTACAACAGGAAGAACCAATATGGAGACGGGAAAGCTAAGTATCAACTCTGCCAAATACTGGAGATTGGTAAGTAACAAGAAGTACCTATTCCTTTCCTTCTCTCTTCATTTCCAAAAGAAAACCCAAGCTTCCAGTTCAGAAACTCAAGAGGAACTTAAGATGGGTTGAAAACTACCCAGAACCTGAGATGGGAAGATGAAACAGTACAGCTGAAGGCAGAAGAGGACAAGAAGGCTGTGACTATCAGAGAGAAAAGGATCAGTGGAAACTTCACGTAGATTCCTGAATATTTTTTGTCATGTGTTACAGGACATATCAAAGATTGGCTGATGGCTCCTTACTTCAACTTACAAAACCAGTAAGCATCTAGACAAAGTGTCCAAAGAGAAAAAGGGTACCTAGCAAACAACAAAAAACAGGTAAATGAACAACTATGTTGACAGTATGTATCGAGGTTGCAGTATGTCGATAGATGTACTCATCCAGATTATGCGTGTGCGTACAGGTGGGCATGTAAATTTGTTATACACATTATTTTAGGTATATTGCTGTTATGCACACAGGTTTTATAACCATTTAGTGGGTGTAGGAGCACAAATACCATTAAGTTTCAAAATATATATGACCTACGTAATGCTAGCATTCATTTACATCCCACTCAAAGGCAACCAAAGTTTGACGAATAGACCCCAGCAACATGCAACTGCATGCCATGGAAAAAATTAGCATTTTTTGCTACACACACTTGGAAAAAAAAAATCAAATGTTATATCCACACACAAACACACATGCATTCACACATACTTACATAAGCCTTTACATACAAAACCTACCTCTTCCTATGTATATACGAAGCATACATTTACACTGACACAGTAGTTATTTGAAAGGGAAAGTTCCAAAGAGCTGGAAACAATTATATACAAAAACAGTTTGAAGAAAAAATGTCAGCATAAAATACTAACAAGTATTTCAAAACATATCCCACACTCAAGATGAAAAGCTTTACTGTTTCAAAAACTAACCTGGCTTAGGAAAAGAATTAGAAAGCAACAGTAAATGACAAACAAACAAAAAAAACATCAACTAAAGAATTCAAGATGATAGTCCCAGACAGCTAAGATCCTAAGGAGGCAGTATTTTTAAATCTATGAAAACCAGAAAAAATAATTCACACACTCTTAATTACTAGAGAGAAATGACAGAATTATCTAATATAATCAGAAAGTACAAATGCTGTATTCTGTATTAAGGCAAAACTACACCAGAAACCCCTGCCATCTAATTACATGGTTCTTTGCATTTCAACAGAAGTTAGGAATGCCAAATGATACAAATATAGACATTAGAATATATATATATATATATATTATATCATATATAATATATATCATATTATTATTATATATATGGTATATATATCGTATGATATAAATGATATATATTATGATAATATATATATATCATATTATTATGATTATATATATATATATAAATATATATATATAGAATCAGTGGTCCAAATATATTAAATTTAAAATTTTAAGAAAGCAAGGATCCCAGCGGAATGACAGGTTTTCATTTTAGCTCAAGCACTATGGTCCTCTGGTTCCAGAAAGAAACAAAGTACGTAAGATGACTGCCAGCTTTACCAAAACAGCAGGAAGTGAAAAATATTTAGGGGTTATGATGACTTACCATCTGGATCAGGACTCTGTTGTGTTGGTAGGGCTATAAGATAAATGCAAATTTTAGACATGGAACAAAACTGCTAAGCAGAAAGCTGTATGTGCAGGCAGAAGAGAATATAACTGTTGAAGGATGCTATATCCTTATCCTCATATAAGCAGGTTTGTTATGACACTACAGCTAAAAGCAAATGTACCAGCACGATCAGAGCCTGTTGATCTGTGCCTGATGAGGATACAGGCTACAAAATATAAGTGGACATATACGTGCCAAATTTAAGGAGAACCAGATTTTTTTTCTTTGATTTGTGACATGTAAAATAGTTAACTGAAGGCCAATTTGATGTTATTTTTAACTATCATTTATGTAACTGATAGTTAACTACGGATCAATTAAGCATGACTTTAAGCTCTCAGTTATGATCTCTACCCCCTAAATTACAATGCTGAAAGACTGGTGAACGTAACATGAACGAGTAAAAGAGTAAGCACGTGCATTCTGCAAAATGGAGTACAGAAGTTCTAGAAATAGTTCAATATTTGCTCAACATGCTATATCTATCTATGTATCTATTACAAAAAACCCTCTTCACATATGTCTGGAAAAAAACTCCACCGTTTTTATAAAATACTTATAGCTATTCACCTTTTGATGTTTCCTGTTCTGATGCTTGACTGAATTGTGATGGATTTGAAGAAAGCTTGGCTTTGTTGCTACTTGAGTATGAGGCTGCCTTTTGGCTTGCTTCCTGGGGATCTAATCTTGCTCTTTTCGTTTGAACTTCTTCTGTTTCACTAAACTGTGAAAGCAGGTGGATGTGTGTATTTCCTTCTTCATTTTTTTCAGTGCCTTCTATTGCACTTACTCCAGCAAACACTCCTTCATCTGTTGTATTAACAAAAGATTTTTGAGTATCTATGGCATAATACTCAGTAATTTCAGAAATTATAACTGATATTACAATGAATTTCAAAGTTATCACGTAGTCTAGGGCAATAAATGCTTGCAGTAACTCAACTTTTGAAAAGACTTTAACATAAATCTTTTATTCACTATTCACTGCATATTAACATACTGAGATTGCATCCAAAATAATTCAAAGGTTCTTTTATGAAAATATGACCTTTCTGAATTTTTACCTTAAAAAAAGGTACCTAAGAATTTCATTCTAATTATTGTAATGATCACGTTTTGGTAAATACTGTAGGGATTTGGATATAAAACAGCCCCCAAAAATGCAAAGCAAAAATTACTAAATAGCTAATTTGGCATACTAAACTGTACCAAAACACATTCCATGTGTCTTATATTTACTTGTGGCAAAATACATTCTGTGGAGATCCACAGTTGCATTTTTTTTTAATAAAATACACAGGATTATTTAAAAAAAAAAATAAATTCAAACAAAACATGCCACCTGTTTTCTGGGTGGTTTCTTCCTGAATACTTTCCACAATCTGAAATGAACTAGGAGACTTGCTGGCTGCTTTACCAGCAAAATGCAGATCTGCTGCTGGGCTGGTCTCCTGATGATCCTCTCTCTTTCGTGTGTCATTCTCCTGGAGTTGTAAAGCTATAGACTCAGTCTCTAAACTATTAGCATTTTCAGTTTCAATGTGACATCCTTGAACACTTGTTTCTACATTAAGCAGGGACCTTCCTCCTTTCTCTGCCTGTGGAGACTTCTGTTTAACGGTGCTTAGTACACCACTGGCAAAATCATAAGGACTCCCATACACATTTTCTCCATTAGCAGCTGCTGAATGCTCATTTGCTAACACCATTTCTGGATTTGCTTGGAGTGTGTGTTCAGTGCAGCTTGTTCCATCTTCAGGTTCGTTAGTATAAATGTTTTGCACCTCATCTACAATAATCTGTTGCAGTATGTTCATGCTGTCTGCAGCAGTAAGATTTGAACACACTGGTTCTGTCTCATCTGTCTGCAAAGAAATCTGTTCAAACAAAAGCAAAATGAGTTTTAAACTTCTAGCCTCTCCATCAATTTTGTTTCCATAAACATTAGTTAGATTCGTGGCATTTTGCAAAGAATTAAGTAGTTCTGAAGGTATTCTCATATCAACATTTAGATACCTGTCAGTCAAACTACTAGTATTACTCTGCTTGAGACTATGATGATCATTGTCATAAGCCTTCCTATTGCAACTTTAAAACACACACATTGTGAGAAGAGGTCAAAGCAAGTAAGCATTGACTGAGAATCAAGTTCTTCTAAATCAGTAGTCTGAGAATCCTGTGCTGACACTTTTTCTCCAGAAACCACTGATGGGGCAACAAAAAATGGTGATCTCCTCCCCTATTATAACTGAAGTTGCTGATATTCCTCTAGTACTGCCCTTTTCTTCTGTAAATGGATTTTCACTGCTATCACTGTTGAACTCATGTTCCTGTTATCTGTCCTGACTTAGCTCAGTGTTCCTACAACATTTACTGGGATGCAATAATTATTATCAGAAGCAGCAGCAGAGTGGCCTGTTTCATTAGTCACAGCATCAAGGAAACATGTTTGCTGTGATTTAACTGTTCTTGGTTTTTAAGAGTACCTAAACATGAGTTCTATCTAACATGAGACACTACTTCTTAATAGCTTTACTCTCAGCTGTAGCTTCTGCTATAAGAAGCTATGTGTCTTTTTTGAACCTGTATTTTTTTCATTCAGTTTTCTGCATTCAGGATACTGAAGAATTTAATTTCACCAAATTAGTTTTTCTGCTTTGCTAATTTTTATCAAAACTTCATTTGATGCTTTAGTATTATCATGTTGAGCTGTGCCATCTGCATTAGATTCTATCTATAAAATAAGCTTTATACTTAATCTTATTTTCTGATATATTTCTTCATCAGATACTAAAAGAAAATTGTGCTATTATAAAAGTCAACAGATTTCCTCTGCTTGTGCAGCTTTGTTAAGACAGGACAAAGAAATTAAAGAACTAAGAATTACAGGTAGAAAAGTGTAAAAATCGATGGGTGAAATACTACTGAAATGCTTTCCACTTTTATTTATCTATGAAATGGAACTGGTTTGAATTAATGCTCTGCCTTTAAAGAATTAAAACTACATTGTTCCTGTGATCACATACAAATGCTACAATTTCACATTTCTAGCAAACCTGCTTGCAATGATTTTAGGAAATCATAAATAAAGGGAAAATAACACAGCAAAAACACACAGAATTGACTCATAGCAAAGTGACAACAAAACTGCTCCAAAAGCCAACAGCTTACTAGAATTATCCTCTTGATTACTTCATATCTGGAGATAGACCCGGAAGACAAACATTGTAACAACTCACATGACCATTGAAATTATCAGTGAAACAGCCACACTAACAGGTTTTCCTAAGTAAATGTTTACACCTTCTACTTGGAGAATGTCCTCCACCAGTCAACTAACATTTTAAAGTATAATCTAAGACTATACACCAGAGATGCTGTTACAGCGTAACACTTCTAAGAACACTGCAGACTGAACTACTGTGAGTAACAACGACAGTTATCATAACCACATAAAACTTCAGGAAGAAAGAAGAAATGTGTGCACATAATTTCAGCTCTGTATTTCAGCTAATACCAGTTATAATTGTTCAATGGGGAGAAAACAACAGCAGGGAGAGTTCAGCTTTCAATGCCAAAAGGTGTTGTGCTATCTGCAAACTACGACCCAAGTGCCTAACCATGGTGTCTTGTCTTCATGTGATGCATCAGCTCCTGCACCTTACTGAGGTCACATGGCATAACTGTGTAACCCTTGTGTAAGACAGTGGTTCCCTAATCCTTTCCTATCAAAACTCAACACAACCTACTACACAGAGGCAAGAGGCAGCTATCCTGTTGCTACAAGCGAGGCAACATCTTGCAGTTTCAGGCAGGTTTCCAGAAGTACAAAGAGGCACTCAGGTACTATCTCTGCACTTGCAAAAACTCAGCAAGAACCACTGTCCATGAGAGAGCTGACTGTCTCCATCCTGCATCCTCATGAAGCTGCAGCTTATCCCTAGGACAAATAAGGACCAGCAACTGCTTGCCCAAGAATTGGCATAACATTGAGTATCACTCTATTTCAGTCCCTGGTGAGCACGAAGCATCTAGCACATAATGTGTGGGGTTTGAAACACATTTAAGAAACAGTTGTCTGTTATAGCTTATTGAGGACTGCTAGCAAACCCTTAACAGTTTAGCCTCAAATTAACATCAGGATTCTTTGTAAAGATGTACCTGGTGCAGATTTGTATCCTCTACACTTTGAGTATTTAACATATTCTTTGAATTGTCTCCATCTGAAATGAAAATGAAAGACAGAAAGAAACCAGGGTTGAAAAGAGACTGCAAATTCTTTGCTTTGTATATATGGCATCTTGGGTCCACAGTCTTGTGTGTGACAGTACTTACCACATTTAGCTATCCAGAAAAATTCTCAAGCCATAAGGCATTTTATAAGAATCTAAACCATAACAATATATAAAATATATATTAGCATCTTGGAGCTTGGTCTTTGTTGTAGGTGACATCTTGTACAAACCAGGACAGGTGAGAGTAAAGTATGACATTATGCTTCCAGACTTTTTTGAAGATTAGTGACCTGAGCAATTTTTGAAACTTATACTTCCCTTCTAACAGGCCTTCTTCATCCTCAAGAGACTTTTCTAAAGCCAGTGATAGTGGACTGATACAGTCTAGCTCACATCCTTCCCTATAGGGCATATTAGGTCAGGGAAAGGAATGGAGAAGCTAAGGACATGTAACTGGTGTAAAAATAGGCAGGAATATTCCCCAGCACCAATTCATTGCCCTGCTGGTGGTCTGCTTTACCTTTCCAGAGAACATCTGTGCTGACAAACAAGCATAAAACAAATATTGCAGCTATGAAGACCTTACCCTACATATTTATACACTTAATCCATGCAACTCTACACATTTGTATCTGGCCTGTATTTTCTTAAACCTAGGCTAGTCACCTCATATGGAAAAAAAATCTAGCTCATCACCCTTTGTTATTTTGTACTGCAACATGAATCCCAACCCCAGCCCAAAGAATCACCCAACAATCCACGCTGGAACCAGTCTTAAATTTAACAAGTATTTCACAGCATGGCAACTTTCTCCACCACTTCAGGGAATTCAACATGCCAGATGTTAACACTAGCCATAGGATCACTGTTAGTTCACTAGATCCTCACGCTCTTAGCGCTAAAATAAGCCAAATGGCCCAACTATTGAGCACTGATTAAGCCAAATCTTAGTCCAAATGAAAATTTTGAACATGCATTTAGCCAACTGACCTTTGTAAGGCTCCGAATATTCAGATTACCTTTGTTGCTACAGCGCTAGTCTCTAATTATGGCACCTCTTGAATAAAGCAGCCCTTATCAGGCTAATCTCTTACAGTAACATTAACCTTGGTTTCTGTCACTTCTGAAGTCAGTATATCTGGCCTACTCCTACTGCCCTGACTCTAAACTTAAAAGAATCATAGAATAACAGTATGGTTGGGTTGGAAGGGACCTTGAAAGGTCATCTAATCCAACCTCCCTGCTCTGAGCAGTGACATCATCCACTGCTCAGAGCCCCATCCAACCTGACCTTAAATATTTCCAGGGATTGGGCATCTTGGAAATCTGTTTCAGTGTTTCTTCACCCTTATCATTCACTACCCGTATCAAGATTTCTGTCTTACATCCAGTCTGAATCTACTTTTACTTTGAAACCATTACCTCTTGTCCTACTGCTACAGGACCGACCAAAAAGTTCATACCTGTCTTTCTCTTAAGCCCCCTATCTCCTCAGAGTCTTCTCTTCTCCATGCTGAACAATCCCTACACTCTCACCCTCTCTTCATAGGAGAGCTGCTCCAGCCCTCTGATCATCTTTGTGGCCCTCCTCTGGACTTGCTCCAACAGGTCCATGTGTTTCCTGTACTGAGGACTCCAGAACTGGACACAGTGCTCCAGATGGGGTCTCACATGAGCAGAGTAGAGGGCAGAATCAATCCCTCAACCTACTGGCCACACTTCTTTTGATTCAGACCAGGATGTGGTTGCTTTCTGGGCTGGAAGTGCACACTGCCTGCTCGTATCTGCCTTTTCATCCACCAGTAGTCCCAAGTCATTCTCAGCAGGGCTGCTTTCAATCCCTTCAGCACCCAGCCTCTACTGACATTGGCTGTTGCCCCAACCCAGAAGCAGGACCTTGAACTTGGCCTTGTTGAACCTCACAAGGTTCAGATGGGATAACTTCTCCAGCCTGCCCCAGTCCCTCTGGATGGCATTCCCATCCCTCAGACACATCAGCTTGTTGTCATTTGCAAATTTGCTGGGGTTGCACTCAATCCCACTATGACATTGATGAGAATATTAAACAGGACTAGTCCCAGTATGGACCCCAGAGAGACACTACTTGTCAACAACCTCCATGGGGACATGGAGCTGTTGATGACCACCCTCTGGATGCAACTAGTCAACCAATTCTTCTCCACCACTCCTCCTGTTAGTTGCCCATGCTGTATGCAGTGGTGTTGACACTTCAGATGGGATGTCAGCCATGTCACCTTTTCAGAGGTGACCTCTTAATTTGTTTGAGGTGTTTCACTAGTGTTTCCCTGTTGACTGTTACTACTTCAAAAGCCCCTGGCTCAGCCCTGTAAGATTTCAAGTGTGCTCCAGTGTAGCTAGCACACTTCTGAGCAACAAGCTGAGGGCCCTGTCCCTCTAACCTTGATGTGTCATCCCACAGGTTGTCATCAGCAAGCCTTGATATTATCTCCTTCCCCTTCAAGTCTAGTTTAAAGCTCTGTCAATGAGCCTTGCCAGCTCATGAGCAAAGACCCTCTTCCCCCTTTAAGAAAGGTAACTGACACCAGCTGGCCTGGTGCCATGTAGACCATCTCATTACCAAACAAAACAAAGCTGTGGCAGTGACATCAGCCACAGAGCTATGTATTAATAGACTGGATCCATTTGCTTCTTCCAGTGTCACTGCCTGCAACTAGAAGGACAGAAGAAAAAAATTACCTGTCCGCCAGATTCCCTTACCAACTTTTCCAAGGCCCTGAAGTTTCTTTTGACTGCCCCTGGACTATGTAATGGCTTCATTGCCACCCACATGGACTCCTTCCAGACTTACACATGCCACAGCCCACACTGGCCCACTGGTGTCCTATATTCTTAATGCTAACTCAAGGCTTATCTTGTGGAACTTCTTTGTACCTGGCCCTGACCAAGCAGCCTGTTCTGAGCCTTCTTCTTCAAAGTCAGGAACTTAGATCCTAACACTGTACAAAACCCAACTCTCAGCTTAGCCAAAATGTTCACCCCTTGAAATTCACTTGCTACTACCTAGAGTAGTATTACACTAGTCCCAGCCCTAATACTAGCAGTTAAGGATAAGCAGTTAAGCCTTAGCAACCCTTAAGATCTAGATACAATCCTAGATCCTCCATTTTTCTGTCTTATGGATACTTCCAAATTCATCCTCTATGCCTGTTCAGAACCAAATTTTAGCTGTAGCTCTAAGCCATATCTAAACCATCAGAAAGTTCAGCCATGTCCCATCTTACATATAAATAGGCAACAATTACTGTGCTTCACATCTTCATTTAAAATGTAAAGATAGCTCCAGCCCAAGAAAAACTGGACATCATTCTCTTTTATACTTTGCCAATGTACAGCAACTGTGCTGGATAAGGCAGGCTCAGTGGTGCTCAGGCATCAGACAGTGAAACCCATGGAATTATTAGCAGTAACTGAAGAAATACAGTGCAACAGATGTTCTGAATTTCTCCATTTGGAGGTGATGACATGTCAGAATAATTCTCTCATACCTGATACTGATTTACTTCCGGATTTTGCTACATAACTTTCAAGCAGTTTCCTCATAGACGGGTCTGTAGCTTCTTCTAATGCACACGTTCCCATCTCATTTTTTAATAAGGGATCAGCTCCATACCAAAGCAATAACTCTGCCATCTAGAAAAAGAAGTTTTTCAGATTATTTGCTGACAATATTTTCCACACTCTCTACTTTTACATGTTTCTCTCTCTTGTACTACACAACATGAGCAACTAAAACCAAATCTAAGGCCTGTGACAAATTATTTAGAATAGCGAGGGGTTATCTGTCCTGGTTTGATCCAGGACAGAGCCAATTTTCTTTTTAGCAATTTTACGTTTCAGTGAAGTGTATTCTAAGTAGCTTTATTTTCTGATATTAACAGCATGTTTTTTTCAGTGTCTTCTTCTAAAACTGATAAAGCTCAGCATTTGTAGTTATTGCTAGAGAATGGTATGCAGAACCAAGGTCACTGCTTGGTTCTGCTACATTTCTTATGCACCAAAAACAAAAGTGAGGACAAGGGGTCAAACCTGTGACCCTCCTATGGAGAGAAAAGGACCAGACAGATGACCCAAATTGACCAAATGAAGTATTCCATCCCATAGGCATCATACAAAGCTGAGGGATCACAAAAGTCAAGCTGTTTTTGTCCATGGGCAGTATCCTGAGAGGACTCCACCTGTCCTTCTGTCTTTTATGCCATTCTGTGCATTTCTCAATCCATGTGTTTTAGCATCCAGTTCCCGTCTGCTGAGTTCAGGAGTCCAGTCTAGGACTTTTTCTGAAGCATACCCTACAGCCTCAGTGGTGATGTGACTGTTAGTGGGAGGGGACCAGCATATTGGCTTTGTATATATTTTTTTATATTTAATTATTTTCTTTTCCATAATGCTCACTTCATTAAAGCTGTTTAGTCTACTTTCCAAAATTTAAGTCTCCCTTATTGTCCTTCCTTTCCCTTTATGAGAAGGGAGAGGAGTCAGTAAAAGCACCTGTCATTTGTTTAGTTGCTGGCCCAGTGAAAGCACTTCAAGCATGTGACAATATTTCAAGCATTCCCCTATATGCATCATTATCCTATAGTCTTATTATTTTTGTTTTTATGAATTTGTTTCAGTTATTAACCTGATGCCATTAAGCAAAGTTGTCCCAAAACATACAGTAAGATTTGTCCCCCTATAGCTTTTAATTGGTGGAAAATAACTGGTGGTTTTAGGGCATAAGTCAACTTACCTATTTCAGATATCTACTTTATGAAAAAATAAATTGAGCTTTGCGTGTGTCTGTTGTGACTATCTTGACTGCTAAGGGAAGTTCTCACTGCTACTTTAGATGTACAACATTCACCTGGTCAAATAAACGCCACTCAGACGGTTTTACTAACATTATGATTTCTGTACAATTACAAAGCCTGATTCTGTCACTGTCCAAGAAATTATCACATTAGCAAAATTTTCTATCTGCCTTTGCAGAACACTTTAAGACACAGGAAATTTACAATCTGATTATTTCCATTCTGTGGGTAACCCAGCAACCTATTCCAGCACTAGTGTGGTTTTACTTGTACCCCTGCCTTTCTCTCTTCAGCATCTGCTCTGATTTCAGACTGAGCTTGACTCACATCCTTCACACATTTGTTGTAAGTCCCTCATTCTTTCTAAACAGATTGCTACCAAGAAAATTGCTGGTGAAGTTTTCTCAATTTATACATTCTTCTAAAAACAGAGCAAATAAGAGTCCAATCCACCACAAAAACCCTCTTCAGCTTCACAAGTTGTCCCAAATCCATAGATTTTTTTCAACCAATAATGTTGAGAAGTCTTCTTCCTTAATGAGATCTTTAGCTTCACATCACAATTGTATGCTCTCCCCCTTAACTCCAGTATTAGAAAGTCTTTCACATACTTAACATTTTTATGAAATAGGAATTAATTTTGCCATATTGCAGGTGCAGAAAGGCATAAAGCAATCAAAACTGTATTTCCAACTTACGATAATAACTTAACACAGAGAAGCTCTGTAGCTCTGATAGAAACAGCTGCAAATTCCAGAAGTCTTATTACTGTATCACTATCACTATTCTGTTGCTAGTTAGAAGCAACAAAAATTAAGTCTGACAGACCCTGCAGTGATATGACTACACAGTGCCACTGTGTAGTACTGCTCCCTCTGGATATACCAGCTCACATAACTCTAAGCCAGCTGCCCTGGATGATGTTGCTATGCCCTAAGCGACCTAGCTGAGATTTATGATCTTCCAATATCATTCAAATTGTTGACTCCTAAGTATTACTTGCAGAGATGCAGAGTCTTTCATGCACAACCATAGACTGCGGTGTCTTAGGTACTTTCAGCGAACTCAGAAATATTTCATGAACCCACAAGAGTCTGTAAGAAACAAACTGAAAACAAAGCTTGGGGCTCTCAAGTCCCAGATAAAATTATTAACCAAAAGTTCACCCTTCCTTCTTGCTCCAAGGAGACTTGGGGAGAAACAAATTAAGTCTATCTCAGTTGTGAAACAGAAAGGCAGCAAATGTTGAGGGGCAAGATTTATTAAACCCTACAGAAAAAGAAAACTAAAAATCTTGGAAAACAATAAATACAAGGGAGCTTACATGCACTTCTAGAGAAATAAACAGCAAGCAGGTAAAAGAGGTGTGCAGAACTACATAAACCCCAGCTACCCCATGAAAATGCACAGACAGAAGGAACCACTGCCAGATTGAAAGATGATCCACAATTCAGACATGAGCTTATGAAACCACAGCATTTGGCAACAAAATTTATACTTAATTAGTATTTACTATTCAGTTGACTTCCTGTTAAAGACCATACAAAAAATAAAGCTATGTCTACGTAACTATCCCTGCTATGTGTCAATACAGACAATTGTCTATGCATGGTTATGGCTCCACACCATACATGCATTACATCATGAAAAAAAGTAATTCAAACTCCAGAAAACTGCTTAGGTCTTAAATTATTCTGCAAGGTGATTATAAAATAAGTGAAACCAGTAATAAACAGCAGCAATCTATTCCTCGGTACTTCAACCATTGTCCCAAACAGTTAGAAGAACAACTAATTTCTGCTTTTGGACAAATCTTGTAAAGCATGGCACGGTTTGGACAGAAATCGGGCAGAAAAGACTTGCAAGCTCCTGAATTTATCCATAATATGAAAGGACCAGCTCCATGTACAAAGGTTATATGACCTTCTAGACCCGACAACAATAATTTATATTCCTAAAACATAATTTATATTTATTTGGAATATACCTCATAATGGCCTTCTTGAACTGAATATTGTAATGGTGTTATTTGTTCAATTCCCCTAGCATTAACATCAGCTCCTGCTTTCAAAAGGTCATTTGCTATGGGATAACAGCCTTCCAGACTTGCTATATGCAGTGCAGTCCAGCCTGCGAAAAAGAAAAAACATGTATTTCACATTCATTTATAAAAATTTATGTCAGTTTTAGGTTGTTTATTTGATAAATATTTGAGATAGAACACTGAAAAAGTAAAAATCGATGCACGGTACAAAAAGTTGAATTAAGAAGTTTTTATGAAAAAGTCACAAAAGACCTCATCCTTTTGACAACATTTACACTTACTGAAGAACCAGATGCTACTATAAAAAATTTAGCTTTAGACGTTATAGTTCTGCTAAGAAGGAAGAGAACAAAAATTATTCTACCTACATTTCAGTGCTTTTTCCCCCAGGTAAAATGTATACAATATTTTAAGAACATGATAATTTTCCATGGCACTCTTAAAATACGAAAGAAGGGAGAAATTAACAACCTGGAGTCTTTATGGACAAACAAAAATGCTTTTTTTAAACTGTTGTCACAACTATCCAGGAATGGTTCACAGTTTCCACAGAAAGCAATGAAAAATCCTTATTGAAATTCCATATCCCTTCCCAGCTACATGTTATAAACCAAGATAGGAGCTTCATGACTCACAAATCTATTCCATTAAGGAGCCACTGAGGAAAAATAAAAGATGGAAAGTTAACTCTTTCCACTTGGTTTAGCATATCCTTGCCTGACCTCCTTAAACAGTCACTATGTGACATTTTTTTGTAGGGTGAGAAAAGTAATGGAAAAAGAGAGAGCATCTTCCGATTTCCCTGCTCTCAAACCAGAAGAGTATTTTGACGGACAGCCCTACTTGTCAACCACCTCCCATTACCAGAAGCGTGTCTGGGCCTAATTCACATACTAAATATGGGAATGAATATGTGAATTAGGATTATTAAAACTGTTCTGCTCCCATTAAGTAAAATTATCTTCACTTCATGGGAAAGATAAACTCTTGAGGCTCTTTTATACACCACCCAACTCAGAATATTGTTTATTTGTATAGAACTGGGTTTATTACGGGTCCAGGATGTCGCAACAGTTTGATAAAAAATTTTGTGCCATTAGGCTTTGTTCCTGAATGCTAAGTTTTGACTACATTGCCTAATATTGGCAGTGCTTTTTTTAACAGTATAATCTGCAAAACATTTTACTTGCATTTTATAGAGCCCATGTCATTAAGAAGCTCTAGTAATTTCATATTCTGGAGCAGAAGCTTGAAATCTGTTAATAGGAGAATTTTAAAAAGGTTTCTTTATCGAAAAGTACTTGTTTCTCCCTCAGTAAAGAGTATCAATACAGAGTATCGTACACAAAGCAGGGATAAGGTGAATTGCTTCAGTCAAAATGTTCACAGCTGGCCATTGTTTGTCATTCTTTTTTTTCTTTTTTTAAATTGGTGCTCAAGATGAATTGCAAATGCACAATAACTAGTACTCGCAACGCTACAAGATCAAAGCAGTGCTAAATTAAAAAGCTTCCTTTAAGAAGCAAGAGGTAAACTCGGAGTCCCTGAAAAATCTAAATCTCAAGTCGGCCACTTAAACGGACCAAAAAAAATGTTAAAAAACATGTTGCTTATTTAATTAGAGAACTGTTTTGTAATAAGCATGCATTTTCTGAAAAAAATAATATATATATATATACATTGGTCTATATGTTTTCTCATGAACAATTATCAAATTAAACAGATAAAAATCTAATAATCCACTGACTAGTCACAAACCTACAGTCTTGTCCACTGCACAAACTCCTAATACGTACTTTAACTAGTTATAGCTAGGTGTTTGTTTTAAAAATATTATTTTAATACAACTACAACTTACCAGCATAATCCTGAACATCTACATTTCCAGTTACTTTTATTATGTACCGTACAAGGTCTACATTTTGATGAAAAGCAGCTCTATGCAGTAAGGTCTCACCATAAACATTCCTCCTATTGATTGTTGAAAGTGAAATGTGGCAAGAAGGACTAATAGAATTCCTACAAAAGGCTTCTCTTCCTGAAAAATAATGTAAAAGATATAGAAAATAGAAAATAAGATATATAGAGAGACAGAAAAATATCTCTCCTTTCTTATTTTGGCTTCACTTTGCGTTACAGCCATTAAAAAGGCTTTGTGAAGAAAACACTCTCACTCTATCTAGTAGAAGTTAGTATCTGAAAAAAATAATAATTACCAATTAATTAATTATACCATTCAATAAAAGGTGGCATAGTGAATTCCATAACAAAACTCCAACTGAAATTCAACACACAGGAATATGAGTTTGTAAAAATGTGTTTAGACTTTTTCCTTTTTAATGACATTTTTGCAAAATGAGCACTGTTTCCCACTGGATGGGAATAGTTACTCTAGGCTACAATTCACTACAAGATGAGAATTTCAATAGCTAGTTGGTTATTCCATAATTTTTCTTTTTTTCAAAGTAAAACTTATCAGCAGTTCTTTTGTACTAACTTGTGTTTTAATTTCTCTGCCTGGTAAACCAGGAGTATTTACACTAGGTTAGTGATTGAGATTAGCTCCCTCAGATTACCCTTCCCAACTCAACCACCTCTGCAATGAGTGAAGGGCAAACATTTTCTTGGGAATACAAGGTCTAATGTAAAAGATTCTATTTTTAATTTTTAGCTTATTATTTTACAAAAGAAATGCTATCTCCCATTATGCACTTATTACAGTTCTCAACTTGGGTGAAATTATTTCCCATACATATTCCCCATACAGGCCATTCTGTACTTTACTAGGGGTGCCATTCCAGCATCTCTTCATACTGTGGAAAAGAGGATTCTGGCTACTTCCTCTTCTGAAAAACTGGAAGGGAATTAAAAAGGAAGGAAAAAAAGGACAGGAGGATCACCTGCAGGAAAGCACAATGCATGGCCTAGGCCATTACTTGATCTACTAATGAAAAACCTTGAGACAGCAGCAGGCTATACACACTGCTCCTCTCCACAAGCTGTTGCAGATGTGGCTCACATGCCTGAGAACTCCAGCTGAGCCTCAGGAACAAGACAAAACACACAGTTCTGGAGCTGCAACTCACAAAGCGTGATGTCTCCGCTGTTTCGTGCATTGTGATACACTGTGAGCTCAGACTAACTCCCAACCTTCTTAAATTCTTGACTCTGTATAGACTTCTAGAATCCAAAAGATACAGCTTTACCTAGGGCTTCTCCCTCAGCTCAGCACATGCACAGTCCCTCTCCTCTACCTGTTCCAGCCTTGCAAGACCTGAATCATTTAAGATACTGTAGTCCCTAGTCAAAGCTGGTCTAAACGGGCCAAGCAGTTCAGAATGGATTAAACCACAGACAGAAAGAGGAGCAGTTTTATGTTACACTTGACCCAATTTAACTTGTTAATTCAAGAGGAGCTATTTCCTGTTGTCACTCTACCTTGCCTTCCCTAGCACCTTCCTTGTGTCTGACCTCGTGCAGAGCAAGTGATGCTTGCTGATCTAAGACAAAACATGTTGTGGGGCTGTTTTTTCAGTAAATTACCCAAGTAAGATGACTCGCAAACTCTTAATTGCTAGGTGTGATGCAAAAGGAAGGTAAACTTGCTAGGTTGGATTCACATTAAGCTATCCCTACAGGCAGTGCAACTCCTGTTCTTTCAGAAATCATTCTGAAAAAGCAACAGCTTGTTTTCTGAATGAAAACTAGTAAGTCAATTTTAAATAGATGAGCAGTTAGCCATGCAACTTGGTATCTCATGAAAACAGTGCTTCTACTGCGAGTAATTAAGACCCTGCAAAACACAAGAGTTGTTAATTGGAAGCAGAGTTAATTAATGTTTTGTACAATCTATAATGTAGCTGTTACAGTTTGAATCCTTTCAAAATCTGTAAGCTTTTCAAACTACTGTAGCTGCACAGGTAAATCCAGACAGAGAACGCTTAACCACAAAAAAAGCCTTTTAAGACTCCAATCTTAAAGGTGATGGAGTGAGCACTTAAGTGAGGAAATTCTGTATTCTCCTACACACTTCCACCACAAGGCAAAGAATTTCTCTGCATGCAACTTCAAAGGATGAAAAATAGCAACCTTTCTCTCTGACAAAGCACACTGCAAGGAAAAAAACTTCAAAGAGTGCTCTGTGCCTGAGGTAGTGAAGGCCCTATAATCATGTATTTAAAAACAGACAACAGCAGCAGGAATTCAGAACAAATAAACGGTTTTGTATAGGTCAATTCCTGGGAATGGCACTGCCCTCAGAATAAAGCTGCACACAGAATACTAGATTAGAGAAGGAGATACAAATGTCTATCAAGATCTACATTTTAATTCTGCATGTGAACTTTCTTCTGCTTTTCAGAATACACCTGGATTTCTTCATATGTAACTCTGTGATAACAACTGCATCCTGAAAAAATTCTCGTTGCTAATATGTGAGGAAAATAATCAGTTATTTAATTTATTATAACAAATGTTATCGACTTTTTAAAAGAAATGCATGCCACAATATATTGGAAAAGTTATGAATTATATTTGATTCATTACAGTTGTTCAAATTTTAAAAAATGCTGTATGATAAACAGCAAAGACTATCTTACTCAGTTTGGTTTTGATTCTCTCGCTTCTTCTCTTGTCAGGTTTTTTGTCCTCATTCAGAGCTGTTTCTTGGCATATGCTGGTTTTTAGATCCTGCTTGTCTTTAGTAGATTCCTGAATTTTACTGACAAGAGATTTGCTTAGAATCAACAAAAATACTATCTTCTGTATATAAACTGATGTTTATAGTAGAGCTAAGAATGTAGACATATTTAACAGCAAGTCTGTAAAAGCATGCAATTATATAGGTTAACTTAGGCATTACTGAATAAAGGGTAAATCAGGAAATAAACGAACTTCTAGATGTTTAAACAAAAGGTAAAACCTTTACTTTTTCATCCTTAAAAGTTACTGAGCTGAGGAATGAATACTCTATATGCATTGTATTTTTTTCATTAAATAAATAAACAAATGAGAATATTATGCATTATTTTGTCATACTCAAAATCCTTAGCTTTTCTTCTTGTTGTAACGCCACTGTGTGACATCCCCTGCTGAGTCTCTTCCAGTATTTGCTGATGACTGGAAAAGTGATCGCTGTACTTTCTTGAAGAGGTGTCTTTTAATTGCATTACTTT